AGCTGGTGAGGGGGCTGGAAAACAAATCGTCTGAGGAGCGGCTGAGGGAGTTGGGACTGTTTAGTATGAGGAAGAGGAGGCTGAGGGGAGACCTCATCACTCTCTACAACTCCGTGAAAGGACACTGTAGAGAGGTTGGTGCTGGTCTCTTCTCCCAGGTCATTAGTGACAGAAGGAGAGGGAACGGCTTCAAGCTCCAACAGGGGAGGTTTAGATTGAACATTAGGAAGGAATTTTTCCCCCAAAGAGTGGTCGGGCGTTGGAAGAGGCTGCCCAGGGAGGGGGTGGAGTCCCCATCCCTGGCTGTGTTGAAGGGCCGTTTAGATGCAGTGCTGAGGGACATGGTGTAGGGGAGGACTTTGTAGAGTAGGGGAGATGGTTGGACTCGATGATCCCAAGGGTCTCTTCCAACCCAGACCATTCTATGATTCTATGACCGAGCGAACGGGCAGCAGCAGCGGGGGCCGGGTTGGACCCGTGTGTGGGAGATACCAGCGTGTGCCGTCCACTGCCTCAGCGAAAAGGGAAACGAAATTTTAATTTGTCAAAAGAAAGAAAAAAATTTAAAGAAATACATAAAAAATAAAAAGGAAAAGGGAAAAAAAAAAGGGGAAAAAATAAAGGTTACTTGGAGCCCCCGGCCGCGGCTTGGCCACGCCCCCCCGACCCCGCCGGAGTTTGGCCACGCCCCCAGCACCGTATTGGGACTTGGCCCCGCCCCCTCAGCGCGGTGCCGGCAGTTTGGCCCCGCCCCAGCAGTCACCTGTCCGGGGAACTGCCCACGCCCCCTCAACCTACCGGCAGTTTGACCACGCCCCCGCACGCCGGCCGGTGTTTGGCCACGCCCCCTCGCTCCTGCCCGGCTTTGGCCCCGCCTCCTCAGCCCCGTGCTCGGGCTTTGGCCCCGCCCCCTCCTTCCCGTACCGGGTCGTTGGCCCCGCCCCCCCGCGCGGAACCGGCGGCCCGGCCCCGCCCCTCGGCCCCCTGCCGGCAGGCGGCGCTGGGCGGGGCCGGCAGCGCGCGGGGGGCGTGGCGCCGGCGCACCAAGATGGCGACACCCGCAGTCCCCCCCGCAGCTCCCGCCCCGCCGCAGTCCGGCCCGGAGACGCGCTAGAGCCGCCGCCGCGGTGAGTCGCAGCCCCGCGGCCGCGGGAGGGGGCCGAGCTCCCCCCGCCCTTCC